TGACTTATTTCACTCAGCATAATGTCCTCCAGTTTCATCCATATTATGAGATGCTTCACAGATTCATTGTGTTCTTTCTTGTTGTATAGTACTCCATTGTGTGTATGTACTATAGTTTGTTTATCCATTCATCTGTTGATGGGCATTTAGGTTGTTTCCATCGTTTTGCTATTGTGAACAATGCTGCCATGAACATAGGTGTGCAAATGTCTATTCGAGTGACGACTGTTATTTCCCTAGGATATATTCCTAGGAGTGGGATTGCTGGATCGAATGGTATGTCTATTTCTAGCTTCCATTTCATTTTTGATGACTTCCAATTTTCCTATATTCATACTTTGTACATTCCACTTTCTGATTATTAGTGGATGTTTGCAGCTATTTCTTCTCATTTAGAGTCATGCTACATCAGCAAATGAAGGTCTGGAAAGCTGGACTCCATCCACGTCATTAAGGTCTACTCTACTTTGAGGAGGCAGCTCTTTCCCAGTCGTCTTTTCAGTGTCTTCCAAACTGAGGCAATCATCTTCCAGCACTATACCAGACAATGTTCCACTGCTATTCATAAGGTTTTCTCTGGCTAATTTCTTCTGAAGCAGACTGCCAGGTCCTTCTTCCTAGTCTGTCTTAGTCTAGACGCTCAGTTGAAACCTGTCCACCATGGGTGACTCTGTTGATATTTTGAAATATCCATGGCAAAGCTTCCAGAATCACAGCAACATGCAAGACACCACAATACGACAAACTGACAGACACGTTCACACATGGTACTTGTCCCCAAATTCAGTTAGAGTCATTTATTGTGTGCTCTTCTCTCCCTTAAGCATTTGTATGCCCTTCCACATGCTTCCATTTTCCTTCTTGCCTCGGCAACAGCCCTGTCTTCCCAAAGATAAGAAACACAACAATGGCTCCTTTCCTCCACCCTTCAAATAGACTTACCTATATGGAGTGAGAAGGTCAAGATCTTCATCAATATCACATAGCTTGAAAAGCTGTTCTATTTTACTTTAATGCCAACAAATGCAATAACACATAGTTAGAGATTCTCTACATGGAACAGTGAGGTGATCAAATTATATGAATAAGATTTCTTCAGTTTAAAAGATACAGTAAACATGACTTAGATCACTGGAAACCTAACTTTTTAGAAACAGATTTAGAACAAGTGTCCAGAAAATTCTGTATTCCATGGATACTCCCAAGACTGAGTTTTATAAATTACAATCTCTCTCTCTCAATATATATTAATATCTCTTCTTCCACTGACAGCTCTATGAAAAATTACCAATGCCAATTGATTTGGGGTCAGTTCTATAGGACTGAAAATGTAGATAGGCACCAAAGTGATCCGCAGATTTACTTTTTTGGTTCAAATTAGGTGCAATTGCTCTAAAATTTATAAACTGGCTAAACATTTAAAAACTATTTGTAAATCGGTTATTTGGAAGCTGAAATTTCATTTTTTCCCAGAAATAAGCCTTTATATGGTTTTAAGAAAGATCTTAGATCCTTCAAAAACTTAACAAATCAAGACTTAAGTACAGTTCTTTATTACTGCACCTAGTTGCCATGTGTAACAGCAGCATTTTGAGATTAAATTTACTTCAAATTTAACTTCAGCTTGTAGGTACACATCCCTCTTGTCCCTCCTAATTTTTTGTTTCTCAAGTCCTTCCACCACATCCTTACTCTTCATGTAACATGGCTGTCTCTCCTGCTTGTGAAGTAGGGTTTAACTAACTGCAGACCTGAGGCAGGGGCTATGGTGAAATAAGTTCCTTTATGTGTCCTTTTGTTTTGCTTCTTTGGAAAAACAGCTTGAGAGATTTTTCCCTTAAGCCCTGAGGAGTTACCTTTCTTCTAATTTTCTACACCAGAGGGTTTGTTACTTTTGTTCAATTTGATTGACATTTCTTGGGTAAGTTGTAAACAACTTGATGGTTTGATATTTTTTGTCTGGCCCTGGGCTGCATCCTGCCCTGTGATTGGTACACACCTTGCAGGGATTGGTCAATATATTATGAAAATGAAGTGACTATAGGCTATGCAAATAAAATTTCTATTGACTATGCAAATGAAGTGACTGAGGGGATTGGCCAGTTTGATGCCCTGCTGGGAGGGTATTATGGACTGAATTGTGTCCTCCAAAAATACGTGTTGTAAATCCTAACCTCTATGCCTGTGTTTATAATCCCATTTGAGAATGGGTTGTCTTTGTTATGTCAATGAGGCAGGATTAGTGTAGGGTGTATTTTGAGTCAATCTCGTTTGAGATATAAAAGAGATTAAATGTAAACTAGCAAGGAGAGATGGGGGAAGAGAAATGCCAAGCCACATGAAGTTCACCCAGGAGCAGAAGCTCAGAACAGACAAGGACCTTCCTCCAGAGCCGACAGAGAGAGAAAGCCTTTCCCTAGAGCTGGCACCCTGAATTTGGACTTTTATCCTCCTAAACTGTGAGAAAACAAATTTCAATTTGTTAAAGCCATCCATTTGTGGTATTTCTTTTATTGCAGCACTAGATAACTAAGATAGAATTTGGTGCCAGAAGAGTGGAGTCCTTGACACCTGCAGTAAAATGCAAGAGGAAAGAGATGGATTTAAAGATGAACTGTGCAAAATAAAAACAGTACTTAAATATTTGGAAAATTCTGTTGTACAAACTAAGGACACATGTCCTAGAATGTTCATCAAGGACATGGCTACAAAATCTTTTGTTAAAGAGATTAAGCCTGTGACTGATGGAGCTAACCAACCATCACAGCAGAAAACCCAACAGCTTAGACTGATGGGGTCAGAGACAGGACAAAAGGAAAGAAAACTGTCTGCTTGTTGGAGTTCTAAAGGCAGGAAAGAGATCAAAGGAGCTACATCTGTTGTCCTCCAAGAAAAGAAAAGGACCATCCCTGGAGCATCTTGGAGATGAGCAGAACTGTTGGAAGGACCATGGGAAGGAGGGCCTTTTGGGTTTCAATGGGTGGGACCATAATCTCCTGGATCTCAAAGGGTGGGACCAGAACCTCCTAGATTTCAAGGAGTCAGATCTTCGCCAACTTGGTTTCAGAGTGTGGGGCTGCCATTAAGGTGTGCCAGGGGGATGGGACCACAACCCAAAGCTGAGGGGGCAGGGCTGCCATGCCCAAGGCAGAAGAACAAGGCCTGCCAGGGCTGAGCTGTAGCCTGTTGATCCTGATGCCAAGTTGTACCCTGTTACTTCTCTAATACACTACTTAATTGTAAGTACAGTTCGTGAGTTTTGTGAGATGTTGAAGTGAATTGCTGAACCCAAACGGGAGAGAGAAGAGTGCTGAGGAAAGAGGGAGTGGCTACTGTCAGAGATGGAGTGGTACAGCAGCTTGGAGAATGTGGAAATCTGGGATATATTTGACCTCTCCCTCATAGGAATGGCTTTGTGCTTGTTCTTATATTTGAAATTATTTGTATAGGGGCTACATCCGATACAATGATAGGTTTAGATACTGAGACACCAGTCTCAGATGGTGACGGGCTTCTGGAGGGTCATGAACACATCTATAGTCTCTTAGCTCTTTTCTTTCTATTAAGGGCTTCTCTTTTCGCTGCCCACTGCTACCACCCTCCTTGTTTCTAATTAGGAATTCCTCCTTCATTGATCTGCTCTAGAAGTTTGATACACAGGCATACTAATAGTTTTCTAAGGGTTTGGCTACTAGTAACTAACCAACCCATTGCCGTCAAGTCTATTCCAACTCATAGCAAAAAGATTAGAAGTAAGAATCTCCCTCTTATAACCTCTTCCCTTTTTTTTCCAACTGGATAAAAAAAAAAATTGAAAAAATGTTACATACAGAAACTTCCAGTGAGATATTGAGACAATGTTAAAAAAACTGTATTCCCATGAAAGTTCCCAAGAATGCTTGCTTGATATCTCTCTCTAAATATATGTGTGTGTGTTTGTGTGTACGTATATATATTAATGTATCTGTCTATCTCACCTATCATTGGTGGTTCCATTACAGATTACTGATGTCAATTCTTTCAAGTCAGAGTTAAAGGATAAAAAATGTACATAGACATCACATGACTTCATAACTTACTTTTTAGTTCAAGTTACACACTACAACTTATAAATTCATTGAACCCTTAAAACTTCACATGGTACTTAGTTATTTGGGACATGGCAATTCATTTTTCCCTAGAAACAAGGCTTTATGTGGTTGTAAGGAAGATCTTAGGCCTGTTAAAAAAGCTTCATGAATCAAAATTAAAGTACATTTCTTTATTAATGGAACTAATCCCCATCTGTAACAACATTTGAGTTTAAATTTGCTTCTAATTCAACTTCAGTCTGTGGGAAAACAACCCTCTTGCCCTTTTTAATTCACTGCTTCTCAAGTCCCTCCAACACCTCCTTACTCTTCACATAACATGGATGTCTGTCCTTCCCTTCATATAGGATTCACATAACTGTATGCTCCTGAGAGTGTACCTCACAAACCAGCACTGATATCCTCTCTCTCATTTTGTCTCTTTCTCCCTCCCTCCCTTCCTTATTTCCTCTTTCCCACATTCTCTGTCTCTTATTCTCTCTCTCTCTCTTTCGTGTGTGTGTGTGTGTGTGTGTGTGTGTGTGTGTGTTTGTGTGTGTATACACAATCACATCTCACCTTTCAGGGATGTCTCTATCACAGACAGCTAATGTCAATTCCTTCTGGACAATCCTAAAAGATCAGAAGTATACATAGTCAGACACCACATGACTTCATACATCTACCTTTTTTTCCAATTAACTACAATGTTCTACAACTCATAAACTGGTTGAAACATAAAGAATTCATGTGTAGATAAGTTATGTGCAACCTGGCATTTCATTTTTCCCTAGAAAGAAGTCTTTGCATGTTTATAATGAAGATCTTAGACCAGTTCAAAAAAACCTAATACATCAAGAGTTAGTACAGTTCTTTATTAATAAAACTAATCCCCATGTATAATATTTGAGTTTAAATTTGCTTCAAATTCAGTCTGTGGGAACCCATCCTTCTTGCCCTTCTAATATACTGCTTCTCAAATCCCTCCAGCACCTCCTTACTCTTCACACAACCTTAATGTTTGTTGTTCCCCTCAATTAGGGTTCACATAACTGAGGAGGGGCTTCACCCAATATGAGAGTGGGTCTTCCTACTTGGACACCAGCCTCCAATGGTGGTGGAGCTCTGGACGGTCAGGGAGAGACAGAGGCTCTATTAACCTCTGCCTGTCCTGTGAGGGCTCCTCTGTTCCCTGTACATGGACACCAGCCTTCTTGCTTTCAAATATGGTTTCTTTCCTTCCTTGGTCCACTCTAATAGAGTCTCGTATAGACTCATGGTAATACTTTCCTAAAGCTAGTAACTAAGGGTGACAAAGAGACTAGGAGTAAGAAGTCTCCCTCTTACCACCTGTTTCTCTTTTTTTCCAATTAGATCCAAAGGAGAGAAAGTTACACAGAGAAGCTAACAGTGAGAAGACTTTAGAGACAGTGTCAAGGAAACTGTATTCCCATGCAAGCTCCTGAGAGTGTGCATTGCAAACCTCCATTAATATTGTTTCTCTTCTCTTTGTCTTTCTGGCCTCTCTTCTCTCTCAATTTCTCCCTCCCTTCTTTCCTCTCTGTCTCTTTTTATCTTTCTCAGCCTCTCTCTAAATATGTACATGTGTGTGCACACGAGTAAATACACACACATATATCTCCCATTTTAGTGGTGGTTTCATCAGAGATTACTGAAGTCAATTCATTCTGGACACTGCTAAAGGACTTAAAATGTACAGAATCAGATACCACATGACTTCATAGACTTTCATGTTTTGGTTCAAATTGCTACTATTGCTCTACAACTTGTAAACTGGTGGAAACATGAAGAATTAATGGGTAGCTTATTATGTGGAACCTGGCATTTCATTTTCCCCTGGAAAAAAGGCTGTGCATATTTATAATGAAGATCTTAGACCTGTCTAAAATTTTAATGAATCAACATTTAAGTACAGTTCGTTATTAATGAAACTAATCCCCATGTGTAACATTTGAGTTTAAATTTGCTTCACATTCAACTTCAGTCTGTGGGATCCCATTCTTTTTGCCCCTTCTAATGTACTGCTTCTCAAGTCCCTCTAACACTTCCTTACTTTTCACATAACATGGATGTCTGTCCGTCTCCTCAGATAGGGTTCAAATAACTATGCCTGAGGAGGGACTTCATCCAATATGCGAGTGGGTCTCCCTACTTGGACACCAGCCTCCGATGGTGGTGGAGCTCTGGACGGTCAGGGAGAGACAGAGGCTCTACTAACCTCTCCCTGTCCTGTGAGGGCGCCTCTGTTCCATGTACATGGACATCAGCCTTCTTGCTTTCAAATATGGTTTCTTTCCTTCCTTGGTCCACTCTAGTACAGACTCATACAGATGCACGGTAATACTTCTCTAAAGTTAGTAAGCAAGGGTGACAGAGACTAGGGGTAAGAAGTTTCGCTCTTACCACCTGTTCCTCTTTTTACCAATTAGATCTAAAGGAGAGAAAAGTTACACAGAGAAGCTTACAGTGAGAAGACTTCAGAGACAATGTCATGGAAACTGTATTTCCATGCACGCTCCTAAGAGTGTACCTTGTAAACCTCCATTAATATCCTGCCTCTTCCTGTCTTTCTGTCCTCTCTTCTTTCACAGTATTCCCTCCCTTCCTACCTCTCTGTCTCTCTCCATGTCTCTCTCTTTTTATCTCTCTCAGTCTCTCTATATGTACGTGTGTAGGCACATGAGCAAATACACACATCTCACATTTCAGTGGTAGCTTCATCAGAGATTACTGACGTCGATTCATTCTGGACACTGCTAAAGGATTTAAAATGTACATAATCAGATACCACGTGATTTCAGACTTACTTTTTTGGTTCAATTAGCTACAATTGCTCTACAACTTGTAAACTGGTAGAAACATAAAAAATTATTGTGTAGATTAGTTATGTGGAATCTGGCATTTCATTTTCCCCCAGAAATAAAGCTTTGCATGTTTATAATGAATATCTTAGACCTGTCTAAAGTTTTCATGAATCAAGATTTAGGTACAGTTCTTTATCAACGAAACTAATCCTTATCTGTAACATTTGAGTTTAAATCTGCTTCACATTCAACTTCAGTCTGTGGGATCCCATTCTTTTTTCCCCTTCTAATTTACTGCTTCTCAAGTCCCTCTAACACTTTCTTACTCTTCACATAACTTGGATGTCTGTCCGTCTCCTCAGATAGGGTTCAAATAACTGTATGCCTGAGGAGGGGTTTCATCCAATATGCGAGTGGGTCTCTTTACTTGGACACCAGCCTCCCATGGTCTTGGAGCTCTGGATGGTCAGGGAGAGACAGGCTCTATTAACCTCTCCCTGTCCTGTGAGGGCTCCTCTGTTCCATGTACATGGACACCAGCCTTCTTGCTTTCAAATATGGTTTCTTTCCTTCCTTGGTCCACTCTAGTACAGATTCATACAGACACATGGTAACAGTTTCCTAAACTAGTGACTAAGGGTGACAAAGAGACTAGGAGTAAGAAGACTCCCTCTTACCACATGTTCCTCTTTTTTCCAATTAGTTCTAAAGGAGAGAGAAACTACACAGAGAAGCTTACAATGAGAAGACTTTAAAAACAATGTGAAGGAAACTGTATTACCAGGGAAGCTCCTGAGAGTGTGCCTCGCAAACCTCCATTAATATCTTCTTTCTCTCTCTCATTCTATCTCTTTCTCCCTCCCTCTCTCTTTCATCCTGTCTCTTCCACTCTTTCTGTCTCTCATTCTCTCTCTCTCCTCTGTGTGTGTTTGTGTATGTGTGTGTGCACGTGTGTCTATAGACAGGTATCTTACATTTCAGTAGTGGCTTCATCATTGATCACTGACGTTGATTCATTCTGGACATTGCTAAAGGATTAAAAATGTACAGAATCTAACACCACATGACTTCATAGACTTATTTTTTTGGTTCAGTTACCTGTAATTGCTCTACAACATGTAAACTGGTTGAAGCTTAAGAAAATTAATGTGTAGATTAGTTTAAAAAGCTTAATAAATCAGAAGTTAAATACACTTCTTTATTAATGAAACTAATGCCCATATGTAACATTTGAGCTTAAAAATATTTTAAAATTCAATCTTAGTTTTTTGGAATGCATACTCTTGCCCCTTCTAATTTTCTTCTTCTCAAGTCCCACTAACACCTCCTTACTCTTCATATAACATGGATGTCTGTCCTTCCTTCAATAGGGTTCAAATAACTGCATGCCTGAGGAGGGGCTCCAACCAATATAAGGGTCTGTATAGGTATAAGAATCCCAGCCTCAGGTGTTGGTAGAGATCCTGACAGTGAGAGAAAGATGTAGGCTCTTAAAGCTCCTTTCTTTTCTGCTGAAAACTCCTGTTATTTGTCCTTTTCTACCACCTTCTTGGTTTTCAAATATGACTTTTCTCCTCCCTTGGAACACGATGGTATAGTCTCAAACAGAGATATTATGATGATCTTCTAAGGATTTTTGGCTGCTATCAACTAATGACCACAATAGACTAGGAGTAAGAAGTCTCCTTCTTATGAAACATTCCTCTTTCTTCTACTGAGAGCCAAAGAGAAAGAAAGTTACCTACAGAAGATTACAGAAAGAAGACTTTAGAGAAAAGAGTCAAAGAAACTATTTCTGTGGCTGCTCCTGAGAGTGAATGTCACAAATATCAATCATCTCTTTCTCTTTTTCACTTTCTGTATGTTTGTGTGTGAATATATATATAAATACATATGTAAATACATATATTTGTGTATGTGTGTGTGTGTATATATATACATATATATACACCTACACACACACACACACACACACACATATATATACACTGATCTCTTGGAGGTCCTTTTAGGGAGTGCTAGCCCCTCCTTCTGAAATGGAGGAAAGTCTGCCTGTGCTTACCCCGATTGCCAACTCAGATATACACAACCCTATACAGTAGGTAAGGAAACCTCAAGCAAAACCAGAAGGCAATACCCAGCCCCAAAGGGGGCTCACTGGATGTAGGTTTTCTGACTAAAAACACGATTGCAGAAATAGAGAAGACAATGGAGTAATAACCAGAGAAAGTGGACTTCGCCTGCTGGTGGACAGACAGATTAGTACATGATATCTTGCCTGAGTGAAAGAAAGAATCCTGAAAGCAGTGAGATAGAAGGAAACAGTCACATACAAAGGATTCCCAATAAGATCAAGTGCCGATTTTTCCTCATGAATATTGGAGGCCAGAAGGCAATGTAATGATATATTTAAAGTGTTGAAAGAAAATAACTGTCAACCAAAATATTATACCCAGCAAAACTATGCATCAAGAATGAGGGTAAAATTAAAACATTCCCAGACAAACAGAAGCTGATGCAGTTCCTAGCTACCAGACAGGCCCTACAAAAATTACTTATGGGAGTTCTGCAGATGGAAGGAAAAGACACTAGAAAATAATGAAGATCTATAAATAAAAAGAAAGACCCTTAATAAAGGGAAATGCATGGACAAGTATAAGTGCTAGTACTAAGGTATTCATGCTTGATAATTCTAAATTTTTTGCCCTTCATGTTTTTTTATAACAAATATATAAAAGGCAAGGATAAAATTATGTTACAGGGCACATGAAATATAAAGACCTAATTAGTGATAGTATCAACAAAACG